TGTGCCTCCCCCCTCCCCCCTTGTAGTCCAGATCCAGGAGGCTGGGGATCGATCGCCCTCGATATGAGGTAGCAGTTTATTTTCCCAGTGCAAAAAAAATATATAGAAAGTCCACTCGGCTTCTGCGAGTTCGCTTTTTTGGGGGCCGGATGGAGCGCCTGCTAGTCGCTGGCTCTCCTTAGGGGGGCGCACTCATTCGGAGAGGCTCTGACGGCGTGTCCGTTAGACAGCAGAGTCTGTCGGAGCTCAGGCTCAAAGTCACTGTCCGGGCGGCCGGGGCTCGCCAGCTTCACCGGCTTGTGGAAGGAGTCCTCCTGCGACGGGGAGAACGATGAAGTCTGTCTCACTGATGGAGGAGAAAAGAAGAAATCAGTCAGTGGGGGTGGTGAAGAAGACAAATATGCATTCAGCTTTAGGATACAGAGGCGGTGGAATGTGTGCATAGCGCTGCGTTGACATGTGGAGGTGAGAATTGGTATTCGGAGGCCATTTTTCCCCCTCGCTGCAATCCCAGAACAGGCCCGGGCGTGCGGCTGCAGCAGTTTGGCAGCAGCTGAGGACTCGGAGCTTCTTTACAGAGTTTCCAAAGAGACATCCTGAGGGGCTCTGAGCGTGCGGCTATCATATTGTGTCAAATTCTGGTAGAAGCCAATCCATCAACAATCACATTCAATGGAATTTGCCTCGACAAGAGATCCTAAATTCCTAATCGTTTCTCAGGGTATCGCCTGATATAAATCATGTTCCAGTGAAGACCGCTTGCTGAGAGCCTTCAGGGGGAGTGTTTTGGTCTAAAGCTGTTGCATGTGTTTGCACCGCAGCTCATTTTAGTCTCACTGGATTTTGTATGGCCTCACCTTTTCTATCGTGTTGGTTCATCTGTAACGTGTTGTGGTTTTTAGGGAGCGTGGAGCCTTGGTTGTCCTTCCGGATCCCGTTGGGGGTCCCGTTGCAGAGCGGGATGGAGTACGGCTCCCCGGGGTAACAGTGAGGGTGTGGGGGGGGCAAAGAGTGCTGCTGGTACTCCAAGCCTCCAGCGTGGCCGTACCCGTGCGTCAGGTAGTCCGAGTCTTTGGAGTAGCTGCTGCCGTTCTCCATGCAATCTGTGCACACCACGGCGGGGTCGAAACCTGCAGGCAGAGAGAAGGAATGATTTAGAGGCGGAGAATCAACAGCTGGGTGTCAACACTGTGGTTAGAATGTCTGCTGTAATTATTTCTGATGCAGAGCAGGCCGTTAGAGACGAAGGTGTTACGCAACACGCCAACTTTTGGCTCATGGGATCTGGGAGAAACTGCAGGGTAGCATAAACATGTGTCACGTACCTGTGGGGTCCACGATGTGTCCGTTGGGCTGAGGTCCCGCCTCCACGCGGACACACACATCCTGCCTCTCGGACAGCGTGCCCTGCGACGAGAGGTAGCTGGGGACGTCTGGAGGAACTATTGTCTCATCTGGGGGGGAAGAAGAGGGACGTTACTACCAGAGCTGGGGGGGGGGAGGGGAGTATTCTGATCCTTAACTAAAACTACTAATAACACACTTTGAATATACTCCACTACAATTACACACCCTTACTTCTCAAATCAACGTCAAAAGTTCCCTGACAGTTTTTTTTACCAATCATAAAGGATGTTTATAATATTACTATTGCATTAGTGTATGTTACATCTTACTGCTGTTTATGGTTGTTCTAATTTTAACTCTTTTATATTCTGTAGGGTTCATTAATCAACATCACTGCATTATATTATAAAATCATCCTATGTTTTTAGTGTTGCTGTCCCATGAAAAAAAACTGCCCTGTTTTTATTTTTTAAAGTCAAAGCTTTGTTCAGCTTTCTGACTTGGCTTAGTGCATTTTCCATTAGTTTTCCATTGTTTATTTAGCTAGAGAAACAGGAGAATCTTCTTAACCCATACTGGAACACTTTGTCCTTCAGTTTGTCACACATATTCAAAATCTACTCATCTGGAGAGACATGGATTTTAGTGGGCATCAAAAACGGTGACTCATGTGTATACAAATGGAAACAGTCAAGTCACTCACATTTGTACTGAAATACGGTACTTGAATGAATGTGCTGAGCGATACTTATTTGTATTTTCACATAGCTCCCCCTAAATTGCCTTAAAACAAATCCCAGCGTTTACTTCCACCGCTGCTATCAGGACCGAGCAGTCACCTGTGTTGGTGACGCTGCACTCCTCGCTCTTCTTCCTGGTCTGGTAGATGATGCACACCCACACCAGCGACGTCACCACGATGCTGGTCACCACGGCGATGACAATGATCCCTATAGTGACGGTGCTCGGGCCGGAGGGGGAGGGGCAGGGTCCGCGGCGGCGCGTCACCAGCAGCTGGCTGTGGGCGCGCTCCGTGCCCAGCGTGTTGGACATCATGCAGGTGTAGCGCCCCGCGTCCTCCACGGAGGCGGCGCCGATCACCAGCAGCTGGTTGCCGGGGGTGAAGTGGTGTCTGTCGGAGGGGCGCAGCGGCTGGTCGTTGCGCAGCCAGGTGATGCGGGGCGGCGGGCTCCCCAGGGCCTTGCACTGCAGGGCCACCGTGTCGCCCACCACCACGCTGCGGTCCTCCATCTCCTGCGCCAGGTGGGGCGTTTCTGAGGGGCAGAGGGGAGGGACTCTGTTACTCTGGGGTTATTTTAAAACATCAAAGTCCACATTCTACGTGTCACACAAATACTGCTGCTGTTGCTACTTTTCTACCTGAATGTGTACTTATACTATACTCTTACTTAAATTGTTATAATGTGTATTCATGACCTCTCGGTGGCCATATAGTGGTTATGTCAGTTGGGGAAATATTTTCCAAGGCCCCTAACTTTGACCCAGTTTATCAGTTCAAACTGTCCTGACTGAGCACACAGGCACCTGTAGCCTTGGCTGCTGTGCTCTCAGTGTTCTGTCTCCCTGTTCCTGCCTGTTGGCGTCAGCTGATAGAGGTGTTATGATTCTATCTAGTTATGCACAATGCTGATTATTCTCTCTGAACTAGCTAAATACATGGGTCTGGGGTGGAGTTCTTCAGAATTGACGTGAAGTCAGAACCTCTGACTCTTGGACATGTTTTGTGAATTCTCCGGCCGAAGCTCCAAATAAACCCGTCAGTGTTTGCCATTAAAGCTCCAGCTCTCCATCGTGTCTCTCTTTGAGTCCTGACTCCAATTGATTCAGAAGTTTCCCCCACAATGTCCACATTTGTATTGTATAACATTTTTGTCTCTGATTGATTTTATTGTATTATTTTTTTACTGTCTTGCTATTTGTTATATATGTAAGGCCTCCCTTGAAAATGAGATGGTCCATTTCAAGAGGTCGATCCTAAATAAATACATATCAGTTATAACAAATAGGTACTGTCATTTTTATTTTAAATATTATGTGCATGCCATTTATCTAATAGTGTTTTATGTTTTGTCTCTATCTTAACTCTTGCTGTAACAATGTACATCCCCCCTCTGTGGGACGAATAAAGGAACTGTAAGTCAGCTGGTTCTGCTTCACAGTATGAATTACAGACAGGTGAGGCAGTCGAGCACAGAGTGAGATGTCCTGAGTTTGATACCCCACCACTTCTCAGTCTCATCAAACTATCCTATTTCTACACCTGAGATGTTATCTGAAGCAGGTTCTCACATCACTTCATCATACATTTTAATTACAGCACACAAACAAGATCTCCCTCGGGACGGGATCCTCTCAGGAACAATGTTGTCGGTGTTTCCCCGGCAACTTCTCAATATGCTCAATGGGGCACATTGAGAGAGTGTGTGTGTGAGAGTGAGTGTGTGTGTGGGTGGGTGTGAGTGTGTGTGTGTGTGTGAGAGTGAGTGAGTGTGTGTGTGTGGGTGTGTGTGTGTGTGTGTCCTCTCAGACAGAGCACTTCCCTTCACAGTGGGACATACACAGATTAAGAGATCTCACTTAACCCACTTCAGATGCCCCTCTCTCCTCCATCAATACTTTCTCCATCTCTATCAACCCCCNCTTCATCCTCTCCTTCCCCCTCCATCTCTCAAACCCAAACATCACAGATTTGGTCCGGAGGCATGGCCGCCTGCTTCAATATTTGACATTGTTGAGTGGATTAGCACTCGGCCTGAACTGTTGTACATTTTCCCACAAGTCGCACAATGTGTCACAGAAACGTCCGCGTTAAATCTAGAAACTTCCGAGCCCTAAAGGGGAACTTTAAGGCCTGTCACTATTTAGCAAAGAACCCCCCCCCC